TATACACCATACTTACACATATGACACATTTAATACATACAAGTATCATAACAACAGCCTTTAAATAAGTCACATGATAACTCCGAGGAAATAGTAAGGCTATAGGATACGATACTGTAACACTGAATAACGTTATTAATGTGTTTAACGTTATAATAGTTTTGATAGTTATTTGACTTTTGCTACATACGTCCTCCATTATTCTACTTCATATACTGTATGTGTGTCTCTCCTGAGAACAATGACCAAAATCTCAGTGTATTCTGCTCCTCTCTGCAGGTGAAGGGGAAAGCTGTGTTTATCACAGGCTGTGACAGTGGATTTGGCAATGCACTTGCCAAACATATGCACAAGATGGGCTTCACTGTCTTTGCTGGGTGTCTTCTGAAGGTAGGGATTAAACATATGTTTAGATGCCAGTCCTTATCCTCATCCTTGATTATTATACTATAGTAAGGCACATTTTTTCAGGAGGTGGTCGGACCCCAATTTCACCACATTATTTCCTGTTGCGTGGTTTTACAGTTTCTTTCATTACCACATCCAAAAGCAGCACAGACCTCCGGTGTTTTCTACTCTGTGAAGTGGCCAGAACGTCTCCTGCGGTGGTGGGAGAGACAACAAGAAAACAATCTGGATGTATTTGAAACAATAGACTGAAATGTCATGACAAACACATCAGATTTCTGCACGGAGTCATAAAGAGTAGTGTAAATAATGTATTCTCATGTTTTCTACATTTTCTTTTCGCTCTGCCTCCTGGTGCACACGGTCGTGTTCCCACATGTTAATTTTACAGATGAATGTAACACAATTTGTCATGCACACAACATGTAAACCAGCGTTTGTCTGTCTCGACATGAAAAACTATTTGTAGGCTATATAGGCTGTGTGTAATGTATCGTATTGCGTAGCCGTGTCAGGTGGCCTGACGCGAGCTGCTAACTGGACCAACACGGTGCTACTTCTCTTTCCGATTTTCCTGATTGAATGTAGCTTTCTTCGGCTGTATTGTTGTTTTTACCAGTCTTTCTCGTTAAATTTCCACGGGGATAATTCAGTTTCATGTGTGATTTTAATGTTCGGATTCTTAGCCCGTCACTCAGTCGAACCTTTAACACCGATGCGTTTACATTTGGTGCGCAAGCACAGTTCTTCTTCATCTGTTGTTTAATGGCGGTTAGCAAACAGCTTTAGGTGCATTACCGCCACCTTCCAGACTGGAGTGTGGATCAGAACGGCCCCTACCTACTACTATAACAAAATACTGCTTCTCCTCCATCTCCCAATTTAATGACAGTTGTCAGGCTGTCTATCATGCCTAAGGTTAATGGTAAAGTACACCCCGGTAGAATCACTTCAAAGCTATGATGGCATTTTATGTTAACATTAGTTGAAGTAACTGAGAAGACCTCTCATCTGTGCAGGATAAAGGTGGAAATGGTGCAAAGGAGCTGGAGGAATTTCATTCAGATCGCATGAAAGTAGTCCAACTGGATGTCTGCAGCGAGGAGCAGGTGAACCAGGCTGTGGAATATATTAAAGACAACCTTGAGGACTCTGAAAGAGGTAAATAAGAAAACTGCATTAGCACCTGTCTTCACTCACTCAGATAAAAGAACATCAGTGCTCATTCATTCAGGGAATTTTTTGTGACTTTGTCTCACTGTTCATGACCCAGGTCTGTGGGCTGTGGTGAATAATGCTGGCATGTCAACATTTGGAGAAGTGGAGTTTACCTCCATAGACACCTACAAACAGGTGTCAGAGGTCAACCTGTGGGGCGTGATCAGGGTCACCAAAGCTGTTCTTCCATTAATCCGCAGGGCCAAAGGTAAACCACTATAAAAAAAAAAAACATGTCCAACTGAATATTAGACATTATCATTTTATCACATATTAACACAAGTTAAATAGCGTTCAGACCAGCAATGAGGTGCACTGCTTTTAATAAGATGGCAACATGTGACTCATTAAGAAGCAGTGATGTAGTTCTGTTATGTCTCTGAAGACAGTCAAACTACGGACCTGGGGGATTAACAGTCTGAGAGTTAAGCTGCACCACAGATCCTTAATTTCCTTTTACATCATTCTATTGCTGGTTGTGATGCTTAAACCTTTTCATTTACTATTTACAGAGAGGCATCTATAGAGGATTGGATGCAGAAAAGTATCAAATCTTTTACACATTTCTGACACTTTTTATCTGACTGACTGCAGGCCGCATTGTGAACATGTCCAGCATGTATGGGATATAAGATTGTGTTTTAAGATCTTTTTTCAGATTGGCCTCGGTGGTGCCAATAACTGTAATGATACAAATGACCACCAGGTGGCACACAAACACCATACACTCTTGTCCTCATGCACAAGTCATCTGCTGTCTGTTAGTTAATGTCCTGGTTTAAACTACATTATAACAAAGGGAAAACAAAGAACAGGGAAAAAATCTAGTATTCATAAAGTTGTAGACAAACAGTTGGCCTAAAACTTTTTATTTGGTGAATTTTGTAATTCAGTAAAATTGTATCTAAAGAACAAAAAGTGGAAATATCAGCATTTAATAAATCATTCAAGAGTATTCAAACACTGCAGGGTAGACTTAATCACTCCGCAAGGTGCACCATGAAAGTGGGGAGAGGAGAGGAGAGGAGAGGAGAAGGGGCGAGGAAAATGTGGGGAAGCGGAGGATAGAGGAGGGGCTAGTGAGAGAGTAAGAAAAGACTTTTTTGTTTTTTCTAAAAAGAGCTAAAGTACCTTCCCCCTTTTATTGCAGAGTAGGAAGGATCGCTACCTCCTACGCACACACTTCATTTTCCGGCTGCGGACACCAACCTGCCGTGGAGGATGACATCCCCACACTGAACTGCATCGTTTTTGTTGTGTATGTAGCTCAGCGAACAGGCTCGAACCCACGGTCTGCCGTACCACAGTCTGTGGCGTTAACCACTGCGCCATCCGCTTGCATACAAGGAAACATTCGGAACGTTTACTGACTCCTCTTATCACCTAAAGTCATTGCACAAGGATCAAAATCCTCACAAAACAAGCTATTATGCCTTAACAGGGAAATGAACCGCGACCTGTCGGGCCAGCAGTGTTACCCACTGCGCCAATCGGCCCGATGCACAATGATACATCCGGAACTTTACCTGCCTTCTGCTATTGGTCATTATCCCAGAGTAGGAAGCACCACAAGTTTGTGTTACTTTTGGATGTTGTAATGAAAGAAACTACTGATGATTTTCCGACAGTCTACAAAAGCCTGAGACTGAAGATCATGACTAAGACTAAGAACCTCCTGGTAGTGGAGTCTCTGAAAGCAGCAAGATGGACAATAAGCTCCTAGAGGAGGTAACACGGAGAAAGGTGTGATGAACAGACAGACATGGATATTGGAAAGTTCATTCTTTATTGATTCTTTTAACATAGTTACACACGTCCATAGTTACAGCCACATACATGCACATACATGCACCGTGGGTCCTTCGGCCCCTTAATGCTGTGAGGTACATCATGAAAGCCAAGGCTGGGGGGGGCC